AACAACATCCTTCATAATGACTATCGAAAAAGCATTTGGAACAATAAGGACATTCAACAAGTTTTATATTCTTTAACTCTAAAAATCAAAAAAAATGTTATAATGCTCAATAAAAGATTAATTAAATCTTCCTTGTCAGCTGTTTTCAATGAAAACACACACACACACACATATATATATATATATATATATATATATATATATTAATTTAAAGAAAAAACAGACCACAGGTTAATAAGAAAAATAAAATTTTTCTTGTTAACCTGATGGATTTTCAAATCCTTGTAATTTAATTTTAATTTTACAAGGTGAAATGGTCATCAATATTATGAAGTAATCCTAATTCCTATTGTTTATAATTTATATGCTCTGTTTTAAATAAAACATTGAGCTCTCTCTGTGAATCAGTTTTAATATATATATGATACAAGCTTAAAAAGCAGCCCTATTGGGTAGCATTTAAGCTAACTTCTGTGGAGGGTTGTTGATTGGGCCTTCTGCTTGTTCAGGAGTTTGGGAGTCACTAGGTCTTACCATATTTTCTATTCTACTGCTGTCATATGTGACAGGCAACAATAAACTACAGAAGAATTCAAAATTGATCACTGCATTTAAATATTGCATCAATATTTACGCTTACCTTTTAAAAGTTCAAAGATGATGCTTCTGCTGCCACTTAATTTAAAGACAATTTGATGTGTGTAGTTCCTTACTTTCCATACAAAGAATAATTCTCATTTCATGGGTGACTTTCACTGGATTTTGCAATTAATTTCAATTATTCCCAAATTTTTTTCCAAGTTATAAAAATTTTTATCATACAAAAATTTTGTTGCAAAAAATTACGTAAAAAAATTGCCAAAAACAATCGCAGTAATGAAAATTTGGAAATCCCAAATTTCTGTAACATGAACTATTAAAAGTTAAAGAGTTGTGTCCCTTTAATTGAAAAAGTGTGACACACTGACATATATATATATATATATATATATATATATATATATATTGTTTTTTTACAGTAAGGTTATCTCTGTACAGGGGCCACTTGAGATAGAGGGTTACATTAAAGGGTAGTTTATATGGATAGAAGGGGAAGATAATGGTTGACTCTAGACTTAAACATGTTAAGATTATAGTGATCAGGGAAACATCAACTTGGGAGTTTGTTCCACAGGCCAGTAGTTCATGGAATGGAGCTATTTGAGTGGTACTTCTAACTGATAGATTACAGTGAGAATGTGGGTGTTTTTCTACTATGTAAGTGGCCTGGCAGGTCCTAGACATGAAGGTTAGACCAAGGAATGTAGTTTGTCCAAGCACATTCCATGGTAGTAGTGAGATTCACTACATACCACCTGTGAGAGAGAGAGGTTGAAATGTGGGAAATAATTCTTCTCCAATAAGGATTTGGAGATGCTTTTGAACTTTATCAAGACTGGAAAGTGAGGACTGGACAGCTCCCACCCAAATATGGCAACAGTAGTCTATTTTCGACCTGATCTGACTCTTATAAAGGTAGAGGATAGCATGAGTCAAATACTTATTGGAGTGGTACAGAGAGCCAATCATTTTATCTGAATCATTAGCAATAGATCGTATTTAAGAGTATCACTTGTGGTTGGGTGTGAGTTTGAGGCCCAATATTCTTTCAAGACACATGCCTCCTTGAGGGGACATCCATTCATCATGACTGGTTCGGGGTTTGATTGGTGGTCATGGAATGTAACCAGTTTGGTTTTCAAGGCATTGAATGTAACCAACCAGTTTTTTCCCCACTGGGTAGTTAGTGTTAGATTGGAAGAGAAGTCAGCTGTCAATTTCTGATGTCAAGAGTTTTAGAGGTGTGCCCGTATATCATTGTATTATTGACATAGATGTTTACAAATGATCAGAGTATATTCTTGAGCAGATCATTTATGTAAATCAGAAAGAGGGTTGGCCCAAGAAGTGACCCCTGTGACTACCTGTTAGGAAGGATTTTATAATTGAGAAAACTCTCTCTACCTGGAGAGCTTGTATAGCAAACCTTTGTGTCACACCTTGCCTTCAAGATATCTAATGCTATGGTCCTTGCAGTATGTGTTTCATCAAGGGCCTCACTAAGTCTGTGTATAATGGTAGTTAGTACATCAGCAGTGGATCAGGCTGATTGAAAGCCATACTGCTCATTGTACATGAGGTTGTTCCTACCCAGGTGCTTGACAACCTACTTGTTGATTAAAATTTCAAGGAGGATATAATCTCAGGGCCATTTATAATAGTGGACACATTCATAATTTGGTTGGTGATCTAGAATTTGCAAGATCCAATTTGTTTCTTTTCAACCTTGGCCTGGACAGCTTGTGCATAGCTGCACTTGGCATTTTCCAGAACTCCCTTACAGTAATTGTGAGTGGTTCTGAAAGAAGTAAGGGCCAAATTTCACTGCTCCTTGCGATAGATATTGAAGTAGTGGTTCCAGTGAGCTATGCCTGCAGTGCATTCAAGTTAGAACCAGGGCTGACTGTTTTTTGCTCCAATTTATTTTTGGGTATAAAGCATTCCATTCCAGGAAAGATCCATTTGGAGATTAGAGGATCAGTTTTGTTGGCAGTATGAAGAAGGTAGGGAGAGGAGCTTCCATCATACAGGAATGAGGAGCTTCTGTTGTATAGGATCAAAAGCTGTCCCAGTCGGCTTACACACACACACACACACATATATGTGCGTGCATGTGTATGTGTGGTTGAAGACCATCAAGAATTCTTTTAAGATTTTTTTTCCTTTGGTTCAGACCATTTTTCTGATTTACAGATTGGGTTTGGATATAAATTGTCCAATGCCTGTCCAGCAATTTTGACTTTCATAACCCATTATCAAAAGTATTTTGGGGTTTAATTTAATACACCATTATATATATATATATATATATATATATATATATATATATATATATATAAAATCCCCAAAACATTCATTTTTAGAAAACTTTGAATATTACTAAATTAAAAAAATATTTGACCCTTTGATGCTGTGAAATTATGATAATTTGAGTGGATAGATTCAAAGAAAGAGTTCTGGTTTGTTAGCACTATATCAAACCTGTTTATTATTTTTCTATTAGAAGCCAAGTTGCATTTTTTGTTTATGCATTTAATAATGAAAACTAAAATTTTTGATGACTGTCCATTATGTCTATGATGATATAACTAAAAAATCATATGAAGTTATCACTGTTTTAAAACATTGTAAGTTACAAAAATACAAAAAGAAATCAAAGTTTGGTAAACTGAGATTTTTTGATTTTCTATTTAAAATAAGACATACTTGGTTTTAAATTGCTTCTGTATTTTTGAGCAAAAACAAAAATTATAAACTTTTCAAGTGTTAGGTAATCATGTTAGAGAATAACATGTCTGGATATCTTTCATAGAGCCTGATGGAATTGGAGAATTTATGGACATACTCATCATACAAAGTATCTGGGTCCTCACATTAAAAATGACCATGTGTCACATTTTACCTCATACTCTGAAGAAACAGATTTTTACTTATGCTTTTGTTTGACAAAGAGAAGTGTCAACTTTTGATATGTCTTTTAATGTTCTATTTAGTGAATTCAATATTTATTTTAATTATAAAATCTATAGCAGTTAAACAAAAACATTGAGCCTACTGATGATAGCATTAAAAACTGTAAACTCTTTAAAGGTAAAACTGATGACATTTCTAGTCATAAATCTTATACAAATAACAAATTTGCTGACTGAATTTCAATTTTAAGTTGATCACAGTACTAGAAAACAAGTTATTCACATACATATTTAAAGAACCAACAGTTGAATACACATTTAAACAAGCACCCTTTGATGCCCACACATGTTTTATTTAAGTAACTGCTGAATTTGTTGTAGCATTTGACCAGATAATATCATTAATGAAAATGCAAGATTTAAATTTAAATTTGCACTGAAGGAATCTGATTTGTTAGTTCCTTTGTGCTGAAGGAATCTGATTGGTTAGTTCCTTTTTAGAGCATCATTGCATGTATAAATCAGATTATTTTAATAAAGTGAGAGTTATCACTAATAATGAATAATAATAAATAATCACTAAAATGAATAAAAATAAATTTTGCTTTAAAAGCACTGATAATATATATCAGTACTTAATACTATTGTATATGAAAAACAATCATTTAGATACATTTATTAATATTTTAGTGTTTCTTGATAGCTAGATAATATGGTGCATGAGATACACTGAATTAGATTTAAGAGTTTTTAAAAAAATATTTAATTACCAAAATACAATCTCAGTGCAAAATTATCTGAATAGGTAAAAGCTACATGCAAATGCCCTTTGATGTTAATCAGTTAAGTAAAATCAGAAAATCATTGTAAAGAGATGAAATGTAATAACATAACAAATCCTCAATGCAAACAACTCCAGTTCCCTTGAACAGCCAAGCCACCCCTTTCCCTTTGATAGATGCTTGATAGAGAAGCACGCATAGACACTGTTTAAAAATATCAATGTGAGTGGCAGAAGAGTGCAGAATGCAAAGCTAGGCAAGTCATTTTCCTTGGATGCCATACGAAGAGAAGTAAGCTGTTGAGCAGCGAAAGTAGGAAAAGAAAGAAGATATTTGCCCATTCATGAGAGACAAGGAACACACAGAGGTTATAGATTATACATGCAGTAAGCGCGTTTCTGTTGTGCGTTCCCAAAAGAGGAAAAAGGGTATATATGCACACAAGTGTGTGTATGCGTTCAATATGCAATGTACATAGTACAAACATGCACACGCTCACACAAGTATATATGCATGTGTATGCACATGTGTGTGTGTGTGTGTGTGTGTACATTTGCCTATGTAACAAGACATTCTTTACCAATGCAGAAAAAAAAAGAAGACAAGGCAGTAAAAAATTTTAAGATGAGAGAACCAACATTGTTGACAGCCTTTTCAGCTTTCTAAACGTGATCCTGGTTAGCCTTATCAGAAAATGAAAACTTACTACCGGCAGGTGGAACGACTTGGTCCAAAAGTTTAGGGCTCGTGCGTTTCCATATCTTTTTTATTACAGCTCTTAGTTCTTCATTTGCCTGGTCTATATTACCCTCTGTTTTTATTTTAAGGGAAGTTCGAACCAAGGCAAATAATGTCGCATTGAACATAACAGTTCCATCACTGTTCAATGGCATATTCATACTGACCAAACGCTGAAAAAAAGAAGGTGAAAAGTGAATTGATTAAAATAAAATGAAAATTATTATACATTGATCTTGTCAAATTTTTTGTCCTCATCTTGGTTGTCATCATTTTCTTTGATTTTGTAATTTATCTCAAAACCTCAACTGTGTCCTCCTATTGCTATTTTTAATATTGCCACATATTTAAAACCATTATTTGGAAGATGTTTTTCCTATAATTAAGAATGACAAATATTAAGTATTAATAGATGAAAGACTGCCTTGTAACATTCAATATCAGTAAAATAAAGTAACATTTCATCACCACTAAGCAAACTCTAAATTTGCACCAATCCTAATCAACAATCTTACCCTCCTTGCCTTGAATGCCTACTGGGTCTAAAACTTACTCTAAACCTCACGTGGAACTAGTATATTTGTACTATTGTTAAAGATGTTGGAAGAATGGTCACTTCCTTGTATTGTTCCAGGAAATACCTAACTCCTGCAACCATGTTCTTTGTTTATCTTTTGATTTTTACTTTCAATTTTTGTTGAATAAAAATACTATCCCAACAAGAATCATTCAGTGTATATAAGAACAATTTTCATTTTATGTCTGAATTTCCAAGATGTCAAATTATCATTAAATATTAATTTATTGTAATTCTAGTTGTTTTTGTCACTATGCTTCAATTGTCATACCATCCTGCCTTCTTCAGATACCTGTTGTATTCAGTAACATTCTTGGAATGCAAATTGAGCCCTTTATAAATCCACATTAGGGAACATCTTATATTAATCCTACTTTGTGAATTTGTCCTTTTCATGATGCTTCTGCTTGTACCAGTGAATCAGAATATGACCATTTCTTTTGACTTGGACAAAGTTCAGTTAAAATGCTTATTTATAAAACTTTAAAAGATTATGTAATTCATGTTAAAATCTCATGTTGAACACATGTAGCATATCAGACTTAAGCCCGGTGCTTGTAATATACAACCCAGTACAAACACTGCATGGAAAGGTGGTTGGCACCTAAACCAGCTCCCTCATTAGCTTTTCTGTTGGTGAGGAGGGTGACATGCCACTCCACAGGAAGAAAAAAAAAATGGGATGGGGTTTCACCATCAGTCCCTAAACTGCATCAATCATCAGGGTGACCTAAGGGTAGAAGAAACAGACAACCTCCTCCAGGATGATCTTCTGGTGGTGGCTCTCAGGAGTTCTGGCATTGTTATGTCTGTTCACTATTTGATGTTGTCTGACCAGCTCTTGTCTTACCATTCTTGCTTGGGTCCACACTTTGAAAAGTGGCTTGCATGATGGTCTTGCAGAGGATGTTATGTCATCTGATATGGCCAAACTATGCAGTCTTTCGACACTTAATATGTAACAGTTATTATCAACTAATTTTTGTGTGTGTATATATTCATGTAATTGGATATTTGATTAATAAGCTTTATCTAATAGAAAGTAAAAGTGAAAGAAGATTGGGCTGCTTTAAAAAAAAGTGATTTGCAATTAGATCAACACTATGTTAAAATAATGTAATTATTTAAATATTGTAATAATGTAATTCATCAATATTCTTAATATTTGTGATATTTTACTTAAATGGCAGCTAAAAAATAAATCAGATATAAAAATTAAAAATAAATAGAAAAAAAAAGTTAACAGAAAAGAAAACCAGCAGACATAAGTAGACGCAAAATACATACTTTACAGGCTACTCGATGTGGACACAGCTTGCCAAACCCCAATGGCGGGGATATTTTCCGAAGTAAAGTCACAACATCTAAATGTTTTATTCGACCTCTGAAAATTAAGAGGAGAAAAAAAATAAAAATTACATCCAGTAAAAATAAAATGAAAGACAATAAAAATTTGTTACAATAATAACCAATTTATAATTAAAATAATCTCACTATTATTCTGTTTGTATACATGACTTTTAAGATTTTCTAACTGGGATCAAACTGTAGTATTTTGTCTGAACTATGAACTTTCTGAGCTGGAATTATTTACACTTTCTAAGAAACTTTCATAATATTAAATGAAGAGAAGGTGTAAAGGAAGATAGGTAGAGGAAAGAAGGCTAGAGAAAAAAGGAAAGTATGTGAAAAGAAAAAATAAATATATGGGAGAGGAGGAAGAGTAAGAAAGAAAGAGAGAGAGAGACAGAAATAGGTTTGTTGGGTGGATGTGAAAAAACAATGAGCAAAATATTGAAAGGCAGGCACTCTCAGATGCCTAATAAACGGGTGGGTCTTAATAAAAGGGAAGATCAGAAAATCATTTAAAATTTCAAAAACTTAGAATTTGAGCAAAGAAACGTTTTTATCGATGCACTGCTGTAACACTTTCCCCCAGGACTTCTTGCACTTCCAGATAAGATATTAGCATGCAAAGAAACCCCGGCACAACTTCTTGTTCTCTATGCCATATAGAATTTCTTGTTCACTGCCATATAGAAGTACTCATATTTCATAACAGTTCAGTATTGTTTTCTTTGTTTCTAACAAAATTTTCCTGTTCCTTAATAGTTTTCTTAGGTTTTGGAAGGAGATCTTTCTCTAGCTTTTGGATTTTAGTGTCACACTTTCTGTCCTCTGTTAAAACACTTCCCAGATATTTAGACTGTTGTACTTAAGTTCACATAAATTAAATATTAACTCATAGAAATCATATAAAAAAATCAAAAAGGTCATTCATGCATTTTAGAATCTTTCAAAATGCATCATATAAAAAATGTCAAGCAAAAAACAACTATAATAATTATTGCTTCCTGTTTGAACCCAGCACGTATAAAATTAATAAAGGAGTGGGCTTAATAAGTATGTGGGGAGATGGAAATTTCCTTAAAAAAAATAATAAACATCTTTCATGCCAATATTAAATACTTAAGAGTAAGGAGGGAGAAATGCAAAAATTGTGATAAAATAAAATTCTTAATAGAGAAATAATGCAAAAGAAAGCTAACAAAAAAGAGGACACAGCAGAAAATATTTGTCTATTCCTGATTCCTTTTTTGTTGGCATATGAAATGCTCGTATAACAATTAGATAAAAACAAAGATGGTCAAAAAAGATTAAAAAGGGATAAGGAAGAAAAGTAGAAAATACAGGCAAAGGGGGAGAAAAAAGCATAGGTATGAAATAATGAATAATCTTTGTTGTATTGAAAAGGATTAGGGAGAGAATGAGAAGATACAGGCAAAGAGTGAGAGAAAAACAAATGCATGAGATAATGGATAATCTTTGTTTGTATTGGATAAGGGAGAATATAAGAAGATACAGGCAATGGGCAAGAGAAAAGAAGCGACATGAGACAATGAACAATTTTAGTTATCAACACTCATGATTTCCATATGTGTAATTATTAATTAAAATAAATAGAAGCAAAATATTAATTACCACATTAGAATGAGAAAGTATCCCAAACTTTGAATGGTCAATTTTCCTACAGGAACTCAGAAAATGTTTAATTCAGAGATAAAAAAAATACTTACTTTGCCTCAGGGTCATATTCAGACCAGAGTCGTACAAATTCGTCTAAGTGGTGTGGCCCTAAAATTGACCAATCTCTGGTCAAATAATCAAAGTTGTCCATAATGACAGCAACAAATAAGTTGATGATCTGAAATGTGAAATCAAGAAATTCTTAATTCAATCATAGAAGTCAAAGTTTTTAATAAGCAAAGAAAATTTTTAAGTAATTAAAGAAAGGGAATTAAAAAAATGTAAATGATTTGAAAATTAAAAATTTTCTTTATGCAATTTTCATAAAGCCAAATTCATATAAAAGTTGCCTTACTGTGAAGCAATGGTTAGCAGTTAGTTTGATCTTCACTGAGTGCTCTACACTGAAGGCCTTGTGCTAGACCAACATTTTTCAAGCTTTTTTATATAACAGCACACTTGAACCTAGAGTTAAACTTCCACAGCACACTTAAATTATGATAGTAAAAAATAGTGCATACTTTTTATGATTTAGTTATTAACATAAACAAAAAAATTTATTATAAAAATTAAAAAAATATGTTAAGTATGAGCTAAATGTCCTCACTACTTTGGACATGATTCAATATGTGCACAATGAAGGATTCTTAAGTCATTCCCAAAATCAACTTCGAATGATTTCGACATATGCCAAGACCTTGCCAAATTTTACCATTTATGGACATGTTGTGTAACTTCATTTTTCACAACCCACCCACTTTATATATCATGTATACATTTATTTATTAAAACAATTACATACTTGTATAATAAATTTAAAGTGGTTTTAATTTCTGTATGTACACTTATTGTGATTTGAACTTCTTTTGAAACTAATTTAATGACCTTTAAAAATTTTTTTTGGTACACTCAAGATCCTTTCATGGCACACTGGTGGAAAATCACTATGCTAAACTATAATAAATACGATAGGTACCTCATGGATCTATGATTAGTAAGCTAGTCACACACACCATTAATAATGTAGTATGAGCAATTTAACCAGTTGTTTTACACTTGTGCTAAGTACAAGAGGTACTTTACTATAGTGCAATGGTTAGCAAGCTTATATCATAAATGGTTACTACAGTAGTGAGTTCAACCTTCACAGGGTGCTTAACACTTGTAATCAAGTGACAGACTAAGCAGAGTAAATACCTGGGTGCTTTAACATGGCATATTTGATTATAGTGATTATATAAATTATAAAAAAATGTACTTAATATCATTTATTTGTTGTTACCTAGTATAAATGTCATATCTTTCTTAACATTTACTAATCATATAGTAAGGCACAAAGACAGATGGAGAAAGGTGGATAATAGTAGGAAGATTATATTGTAGCAATCTTTCAAGCAGGGTGGGACAACCTGTTGCCAACATTTAAAATCCTAGCTTTTACTTGAGTTTTAGCATCAAGACCCTGCTGTTCATATGAAAGACTACCTTATTCATAAGGTGGGTCAACTAACTAGTTATGGGAAAGTGGTTTGTCCAAGTGTTAACTTATCCACTATTTTCTCTATTAATCATTGTGGCATGCTAGTGACAAGACATATGGTCAAGATATCTGAAAGTCGGAGAATATTATTACATAATGCAGGGAAAAGTGGATTCATGACTTCAATAGTATGAGTGCAAAGTTAAATTCAAACTGATTTTACTGTTTCCTCTCTAGGGAGAAATTTTCAATAGTGTTACTTTCAAGGCAGAATTATAGTTAACTAATACTTTAAATAGAAACCCATCTTTGTAACATTTTTTTTTCAAATTTCTTTCACCCTAACCCCTAACAATTATATTTTTTCTTCAGTAGAAGCAATGAAAAACAGTGTAGTATTTGATGAAATAAATTTTCATTTACTAAACTAAATCACAATATGTCCTCTTTTTGTTTTAAATAATGCAAGGTAAATTTAAACATGGTAGATGAAAATTTTCAAATATCCAACTACAAAGAATATATCAGTGAAAAAATTCAGGCCAGTTTGATAACTTGGGTGGAAACTACCCTAAAGTAAGTATTTATTTTGCTTATAAGATAATCTACTAGTTAGTAAGTATACTAAACTGCATCTAGAGATTATATGCAAGTTATGAATTGGTATAAAGAGTTTTGCCTTTTATAAACTTTTATAAAGTCCTATTATAATGTTGTTTAGATTCTACTCAATATTATTAACTTAGATATATAGTGATAGAGAAAACTATTGCTTTTGGTTGGAAAAAGATTTACTAAGTTAACAAAACAGACTAATTTGACCGTCAGTAGTTTATTTGCAACTATTTATTTTGATACTTTTACATTATTATACCATGTAAAACTAATGTAAAAAAATAATATGAAAAGATTTTAGAACAAATTCGTCAATTTCTTAAAGGAAAAACATAAAAAAAACATTTTATTTTAAAAATAAAAGATATTAACAAAAAATAATAAGAACCTCCTAAAATTTATTGCACAAATGCTCCTTCCTTTTCAATAACTCTTAGCAGCCTATTGTCAACATCTGATGTTAGATTTGCAATTTTAGCGACTGGTAAGTTGTTTGCAGCAACTTTAAATGCCTCCCAGAGGTCACACTTGCTGTTGAATTACCTTGCTCCACAGGTTCTCAATGGCATTCAAGTCACAGCTATTTGAAGGTCAGTCCATAAGAGAATCTTCAACAAATCCCTTTTCTTTCAACCAGGATTTAGTAAACTTTGATGCATGACTTGGTGCATTGTCTTGCATAAAGATCATAGATCTACACTTGGCTAAAGACTGGTTATCAAGTTATTCAAAGAAATATTGCTCTAGAAAATCACAGTAACTTTTGGAATTCATTTTAACTCCGTCTTTCAGTTTAAATGTTGGCATTTAAAAAATTTTCTTGAGTCATGTTGCTTGCAAACCCATCCTTGAGCCCATCCATTGGGCCCATCGAGGGTGATCCTTGTAAAAAGCACTTTACTGAAATCAGTTTTCATGTATTTTTTGCTCATTGCAATCTTCTCTCCTTATGATTTTTGGTAAAATGGATTTCTTTATTTGATTTTTTACATCAGCAAACTTCTTTAATGCTTTACACCTTGTTTTCCTTGACACCATAGGAGCTCCAGTGGCCTCAAATATGAATGCACTTGACGCATCTGGGTTTCTTATTAATTCTCTTCGGATATGTGATAGATCTCGCTTTGTTAAATTCCTCAATTCAGCCTGAGACTTTTTTTTTCCTTGGTTGAATTCCCATTTGACATATTTTCTTGATTGTTCGATGATCCCTTTTCAAATCCTTAGAAATTTGAAGCGAAGACTTTCCTTTGCTAATTTCTTTGATTATATAGTTCTTTTCATTCATTGTTACTTCTTTTTTATGAGCCATAATACTAAATTCTAGTTCTTGCAAATAATCTCTTGACACTGCAAATTGCTATAATTACTGAAAAAATACTAAATATCAATCTGAAATTGAAAATTGGAACTTAATTGCTTTTGTGCTTACTCGCTATAAATAATAGTACAAATTATTTCATTGGATAACATATACCTATGAATTTTACATAAAATATTTGACAATACCTCTTTTGCATATAATCTCTAGATGCAGTTTATAAATACAGAATGTGTCAAAACTAACATTAGCAATAAAGGTATACCCTTTCTAACAAAACTTTAAAAAGACGTGGTTTCTAAACTAGATATTTAACATATTACACCTAAAAGTTTCTTCACCAATAAGGATCAGGTCTTCGATATGTTGCAGAAGGACAGCTAACAAAAAAACTAACAAATTTACTGAAGCATTGGTGCTGTTAAAAATTAAAGTGTTTTGTTTTTGGGACATTTTACTAAGCTTAGCTTAGTATAGTACAAGGCCATAAGTTCAGGGTTTGCCCTTCTTGCTATTAACATGTCATGTGAGTATCAAATTCTTCAAGCCCTCTTTCTTCATCATTATGTGTCCAAGAAATTTCAACTGTTTCTCTCTGATTCTATATATAAGTTTCTTTTTTTGTTCCTATTCTAATCTACCAGACTAGCTCAAGAATCCTTAGCCCATGTTACAGTGACTAATTAAGCAATTGTGTATGGCAAGGATTCTTCCATATCAAAATTGTTTATGTAATACACACACAAATTTACAATATATTCAAGCTTTTTATGCATAGAAAGGAGTTATGGTGGAGTAATGTATAGTGGCTTGAATTGAGGAAACGGAGAGCCAAGTTCGAATTCCAGTTGATTTCATTACATTCACTTATGTGCTAATACCTTTGGGAAAGGCATGAATCCATCTCTTCCCTTCAGCTGTGGGTAAATAGCAGGACAGATTAGACTCTCCAGCCTAGGTTGGCAACCAGTCTAGGAGAAGGAAAAACCAGCCTGGAGAGAGTTAAGCTCTGTCAGGCTGTCTTGCCTAAGACACACCATGGTGGCTGCAGTAGACATGTTGCCCCTATGAACCTAGGGGGTTACAGGATTCATGATGCACAGAAATAGGATTAGATTGTGAAGCTCAAACTTTTGAATATATTCAAAATGTTTACCTTCAGAAATAGTCAAGGAGTGGTCATACCAGATACAAAAATATGACTAAGCCTTTTAATCACAAAATTAAAGGGTTGTATTGTAAATTACACACACAGATGCAAATTGTTGGAGTGAAGATGTTGGATAACAACTAGAGTTAATCAGTAAAAGTTAATTAAATCATAAGAGCAAAAGAGAAAAAGAAATCAAAGTTTGACTTACCAAAAATGAACAGAGTACATAGAAAGAAATAAAATATGCATAAGCAAAGTTGGTACCACAGCTAATAGCATTATTTGTTTTAGCTCTGGGATCACACGCGACGTCTTTGCTTTCTACACAGGATAACATAACTTCTTGCCATGCTTCACCTGTGGCAGATCTGCAAACAAATTGGGAAAATATATGCATTTTTGTTAAAATATTAAACTAGAAAAACAGAGCAGGACTGATTATTATTGAGATTATTGATCTTAGAAGGTTAAAAATATAGTCACTAATGCTTTAGTTAAGAAAGTGTGATTTTGGACATAAAGTAGGGAATCAAATTTGTACTGTAACCAAATTATAAACAAATCTCCCATTTCTTGGTTGATGCGAATTTAGAAATTTTCATAGCACAGTATGCATGTAGGTTGCTTATTTATATATATATATATATATATATATATATATATATATATATATGTATGTATGTATGTATGCAATTTTGGATAAAGATGATTAGCACAAAAAATTACAAGACATTATTGATGACCAAACTAAATTCACCAAACTGGACATGGAGACCTAAAAAAGGGTCCAACAATGTGGAGGTTGGTTCCCTGAAAATCCAAAAATCATTGGAGACTACCAACTTGAATACTTATACAGAAATATAAAAACCATAAATCCAGATACCGCTTATGACAAATCATTTCCTAGATCCCAACATATATCTATGAGCTACCAAAATTCCTGAATGATATCACTCCATACCTACCTACCCACCAATTACAGCATCTCATCCACCCACGAATTCCTCCAAATTTTAAAAACTACTAAAACAAACTAAGGTATCATAGTGTCACTTGACGTTGAAAACTTATTTACAAATGTCTCCATTGATCAAACCATTGACATATCCTCAATTCTGTGTATACTAATAATTCTATCCAATCACCATCCATCAAACAATTTATACTCAAAAAATTACTACATGCATGCACAACCAAAGTCCCATTCTATGACCATAATGGCAACATTTACACCCATTGGTGTTAGTATGGGAAATCCACTCAGCCCATGATTTTCTAATTATTACTTGTCCCATGTAGAAAATATGATATTTAACAGTCTGTAAACCTAAAATATATGTCCGCTACATAGACAATATTTTCATTTTAGCAAATAACATTAAAGAAGTAGATACTCTTAAGACCACATTTGAAAATGAGATTCTGATATGGTGTGAAATAAAAAACAAGAGCTCATTGTGAGACATGAGCACTATATACACATTTGAACATGTGAACTTGTAATAAACAACTCTCAAATGGACCTACATGTCTTTCATAACATCTGACATGGAAATATTACAGTGTGGAAGGTGAATTTTTAGTAATTACTCTATACTTGTAGTTTTTTTAGCATACTAGACTAAGCCTAATAAATAATTTAAATTTTTTTAACTAATTTTATATAAACTATAAAGATGCCTCTCTTACCGGAATAATACGAGGACAGCTTGTGGGAAGGTTTGGAAATTGTTGTTTCGATGGATTTCAGTGTCTTCATCAAGGGCTATTCTGCCAAACATCTGCAAAACAAAAAATACAGGAGCATAAGAACAGAAATCAGTTGGATGGTTGAATTTTTATAGCAGCACCTCTATAGGTTATTTAATGCTGAAAATTTGGGTAATTTGAACCCAATTTTATGGCTTCAACTAAATATATTTTGAATGCAGTTGTATCCCTTCAACTACAGATAAAATGTATTGCCAGTCATTTTGATTTAAAAATGTATTGTTGGTCATTTTACTATAAATATATATAAGTTGGTCTGTTTTTATAGAAAATGTATTGCTGTTATTTTTATACTTTCATAGATTTTTATTTTGGTGGGGGTTTCACTATTTGCCCATAGTTGGGACCCTAACAGGTGCTATCACTCTAGGTTAGGGTGGACCTGGGGACAATAGCAATTAAATGGTAGTTCCATGCTTCTCAAAACCGCCAATCTCCTGATCAAAGACCTTGTTGCCAGATGTATTTTTTCATCATACACAGGACTTAACAGAAATCAGTAATTCAAACAAGATTAGCAGCCTAATCATTGAAAAAAATTCCCTGAAAAATTCCATTGAAATTTCCTGATTTTGGGATATTGTGTAACAGAATGACAATAGTAAGTATAGAGCCATGCCTAAGCACAGCTAAAAAAGACAAATGGACAAAGAAACATACATTTTAGAATATAAACTTTCTCAGCAATTACAATGTAACATTGCTCCAACAAATCAAAGATGTGATCAAGTTTATTACTTTCTTGACTTTATGTTTTGCAATTTCCTTGTCAGTGTCACTTAGTTTATGATGTTCTCTTTCAACATTAAATGTTTCACTTCTAAGGTTTTAATTTGTTCAGCTACTATCTTTTTTCTTTTTACCTTCTGTTCTTCAGCTGATACATTTTCTGGGATATGTTTCCAATATTCTTGATCACTAGAATGATATTGGTTGTTGAACTTTCTTCAAGTGCATAATTTTATAAAAAAAAAAAAAAAAGAGAGAAAAAAAGATGTTCCTGTTTATAATTCTAGATTATAAGCATTAGAGTTCTCTGCAGGCAAAAATCAGTATAGTTTTCTTTTGAAATTTTGGGTACATTTAAGAGACAAATGATGAAACCGTTTTTCAGTTGCATGTCTTCATTTTTTTGGATGGAGGAGTTATTAAATAAAGGTAAAAATAAGAAAGATATGAGAGATTATTATATCAAAAGATACAATGAAAGCATAATGCAGGAATAACATTACTGAAAGAAGGAGAACATTATATAATTATTTAAATACAAAATAATGCTTTGATTAGTATATTATATATTATGTCTATAATTTTGTAGATTAGACATTGGAAGATACAATGAAAATATAACATAAATAGGCAGGAATGAACAAAATAAGGAACAGGAAGAATTGTATTGATTATCATCATTTAAATATAAAATAATACTTTGGATATTATAAAATCCCGTGTATCACTGAATAGATAAGACATTGTAAGATACAGTGAAAGTGTAACATATGTATGCAGGAACAAAAGAAGAAAGGAACAAGAAGAATATTAGAGTTTAGTTACTTAGAGTTATTTAAATGTTGTCAGCCATTTTGAAGTTTTAACTGAGTTTTACAGCTATATCAGTAGAACTATTTTTACCAGTGTAACTTTCAATTTCCCAGAATTGTTAGTTTTGAAAACTGAAAAAGAAAAAATGACTTACCTGCATTCCAATGACTGCATAGATGAAGAACAACATGACAATCAACAGTGCAACATATGGCAGTGCCTACAAAACAGAAGTAAACAGTTAAGTGAATTTTGTGACTCAGTATAAGTTATAATTTGCAAACAAATACGATCAACTGTTAATTTTAACATTCATAGATTCTTTGGTCTTTCTGCTGTTCTGAAAGTCATGTTATATTTTTGGGAACTGAATAAAAATCCATTCAAATGTTGTAAAAGTCAAAACTTATTTGTCAAAAACATTATTCTTCTTCTAAGTGCCATATCTCTTCAGGGCATTGGCGATCATGGCTCTTTACAACTTTCTATCTTTGTTAAGGCCTCTGCCCCTCCACTCATGCAAAACCTATTACATATTTAAGTTTCAATATTTCTGGATTAAAAACCATCCTAAACAATTCTGATATTGAAAAGGTAAACTTTTTCTGCTCACATGTGTAAGTGTGTACACAGAAATCTCTAAATATACCAAATTATTTGAAACAAAAAAATTAGTACATAGACAAATGAAATCAATTTAATTTCATGTCTATAATAATCATGTCAAATTGCCTTTTGAGGAGCACCTCATATAGTATGCAAGATAAATGGAGAATAAAAAATAAAACTAATGCAACTCAAATTTCACCCTCAAAAATGAAGCTTTGAGGGTGAAACTTGAGCCTTTTTATTTTTCATTTATCTAATATTTTATATGCTCTACATTGTATTGAGCACTTTTAATTTCCAACTTTGTCATAGTTGGAGTTAACTGATTACAACTATGCTTCATTTAACATTACCCGAGGAGACACATTTATAGTGTTGAAACATGATTGCAATTATGTAGCGATTTTTTAACACGTTTTTGTTTTAATATCGTAAAATAAATAATATTTATCTCTACTCTATATTGAGCCCTCTTTTAAATGTTATGTACAGTGAAATTATACTCCATTTGTTCTCATTTTATCTATCTATCTATATATATATATATATATATATAATGGATGCATGGTGGTGTAATGTATAGTGGCTCATATTGAGGAATCACATATCTGAGTTTGAATTCCAGTTGAGTTCATTATATTCATTTACATGCAATTACCCTTTGGAAAGGGATGAATACATCTCTTCTCTCCCTCAGCTATGGGTAAATAGCAGGACAGACTGAAAACTGTGGCATTGGTTGGCAACCAGTTCTCATCATTGAGTTCTGCACAGGCCTTTACTACTATAGTCAAATAGTGTGTGTAGATAGTCTGGCTGTTTGGTTCTAAGAACTGAACTTTTATTGTACTTCATACATCAAAAAAGACAAGAGTCAATATATATATATATATATATATATATATATATATATAGATAGATAGATAGATAGATAGATAGATATATTATAGTGTGCGCAGCTTATATTTTATATCATAAAGAAACAATTTATACAAAGAATTAAATAGCAATGTTAATATGATTAATGGTGAAATCACTTCACTAACAAAACTTAATGAGACATTAACTTACTATAATGTGTCTTCCATCTGACAACAACTGAAATATAAGGATCATATTATTCAAGGAACTGATAGTAAGCTAATGTCTTATTAAGTCTTGTCATGCAGAAGTTTTTTCCACAAAATGGAAGTTCTTGGGGAGAAAAAAACTGTATGTGTTATTTTCTTCTTATATTTAGCATACAGAGGAAATGAGTGTGATTCAACTCCGTGGAAGTGACATGGCATGTCCAAATTGTAAAGGTCTGAACTAGTGGAACTTAAAGAATGGAGTTCAAATGCAATAGGTTTGCAATGTTGTATCTGGGGGAAAGAGATTGCAAAGTGGAAAATCTTTTCCCCACAAGACCACATAAACAACTTTGATATCTATCAAAATTGGAAAGTGAGGATTGAGCAGATTCAGCACAGATATGGCAGCAATACTCCATTTTTTGTCTAATTTGACATTTGTGAAGATAAGGTATGACATAAAGAGTAAATTACTTCCTGGAGCAATAGAATCAGCCGACCATTTTTCCAGCATCTTTAGTAATGGATCTTATATACGAGTTCCATTTGAAGTCTTGGAGTGAACTTGGAAACCAATAGACATTGAGAGCATGAACTCTCATAGTTGTCTGTATGTATGCTTGTGCATTTACCATAAAAGCAATGCACAAAATCAAGACAAAGATTAACAAATAAATATATCTTGTTTCAAGAGATTTGAAATCACTGTATTAGATACTATTTCTCAAAACAAATATGGTTTTTATCGAAATACTATATTTGTTGTGAGAAATAGTATCTAAGATGACAGCAAGAATTACAGATTAAGGTAATTCCTTATATTCTTACCTGAAAAGACTTGATGAAAGTCCAGAGTAATGTGCGGATACCTTCCCCTCGACTTAGCAGTTTAATCAATCTCATGACACGGAAAAGACGGAAAAAATTTATACTGATGATAGGAGACCCGGGCTGCAAAAGATGTCAAAGCATAATAAGATACATGTCCAATAACAGAAAATCAGTTTTGTTCAACCAAAAAAAAAAAAAATAATAATATAGAGTACTATTTATTGCATTTGTAACAATAGAAATTAAGCAAGTTGATTGAGAAAATTTAGTTTAAAAAATTCATTTTTTTACATTATATTTAAGAATGAGAAAAGTTGAGATTTTTAAATCATATAAACTCATTAATATAAATGTTTCTATTTGCGAATAAGTTAAACTTTTGTATTCAAAATTATCTTGTCTCTTAATTTTATGGTGGAATGATGTTTTCATTAATTTAACAGCTAGAATTTATTTTAAGACTAGAAAATAGCTATCAATGATTTTATTTAAGATGGATTCTCTATGAGAAGCATGGGCTGTAAAACTAGTTTTATTTCTGTGTTAATATAACTCACTAACTAGCATAAGCAATTCTGTTATTTAAAAAAGAAAAACTAGAAAGGACAATGTAGAGTTAGGAACTTTATTAAAAGATTTTCTGGATTGTAATAATTTAGAATTTTATCCAAATGGACGATCAACTGGATAGTATCTCAATTGTCTGCAAATGAAAGGTATAATGGGTTCAGTTGTTTTAATTGTACAGTGAGCTGGAAAATAAATTTTGATTTTTAACAATGAAAATGATAAATTCTTTAAAATAAACAGTTTCAAGTATTTTAAGCATGAATTTATAATAATAATAAAAAAAAAAAGTTCTCAACTTTAGCTCAGAACACTTTTCCCATAACGCACTATTTTGTTAAGATTGGTGAATTTGCAAACTAAAACAAAAACAAAATTGATCAATTTCTAAAATATCCAAATGGATAAAATGATTAGATTTTTCAGAGTTTTTTTATTTTTTTCCAGAAAGCAAAATTCAAAGGGGGCACTTTTAAAGTGATGAATTTAATTCTGATACTCTAGAATAAAATATAACAATGGGTTAAAAATAGCTTTAGTTTGTTTTATGGAAAAGTATATAGCAAAAAGAGTAATAAAAAGATTTTGTTTTAGAAAGAAATTAAACCTCTAAAATTATGATAAGATTTACATTTTATAACAAGATATTACAATAACATAAAATACATCATTTTATGAAAACAATAATAATGACAAAAAGTGATTATTTATGAATTTATATGACAATAAATAGGAATAATATTTTGATTATTAAGCCATATTTATAATAAATGAACATGACAAAAGTTTTTATGCATATTATATACAGTTCAAATACAATATATAATGTAAAAAACAGAATTTTATACATCTTGACAATGATTATGAAAACAACAATTCTTTTCCAAAAATATAAACTGAAAAGAATTTTTGAAAACAGTTGAAAAATATGAACTTTTTTAGAATCAAAGATTCCATCAATCATGAGTTAACAAAATCTACTTTTGCTGCATTTATAATGTTAGATATTGTTTATATCAGTGTAAATGAAAAATAGATTATATATCTATATATTACTGGAACAGTATGAAATCCATCACTGAATATCTAAAACTTTTAAACAATATTTAAAATCAAATCATCTGGAAACATGTCTTTGGTATTCTGTAGATTTTATGTGATGTGAGCAATTATCAAACTGTGATCAGAGTAAGTCAATATCTGATAAGTGAATGTACAAGTGTCAAATAAAAAAATGTCCGATGCAATTAAAAATGTTATTCAAGTTGAAACTGCAGAAATAAATAGAAGATTAAAATTATGCAATATTCATCAGAATATTTCTATTTAGTTTGTTTCAGATATGAGTTTGATAAAAAAAAATTATCATTTTTGTTTTCAGTTAATTTTTTTTTTTATTTTGGATTTCACAAATTTCTGTTCATTAGTAGTGTACACAGGTTGTCTTATATATTATACTTTACCAAAACATACTAAACATTCTATGGAATATCAATGCATTGTATTAAAATCCCTAAGTAAAATATTCAAGATCAGAATAAAATAAGATTATTTCATATGTAATCAAATAAGGTTACATATTCAATACAGTACCTTAGTTTAACATAATGCAGTGACATAAATATATAAGTATCATTTATAACATATTTTCAGTAATGATTGTCTGAGTGAAAAGATTAGAAAGAATAAGTTTATTTAAAGAACTTTAAAGAGAACAAAGAAAAGTATGGATTTTGAAATGAAAGGCTCTTCTGATAAAACAAAGTCACTCTGACAAAAGGTCAATCAAATTGTTTTAATGGCAATAGAAATCAACAGCAAAATAAAAAAAAATATGCAGATTTAGTAAACAGATGACAAAAAAAAAATTAAAAAAAATGTAAAATAAAATTACCACACAAATCAGATACAAACAATTTATGAATGTATAATCATTATAGGTAAAATCTTTTACCTTGCTATCAAGTACAATGTCTCAGCTGAAAATGATTCAGCCTTCTTGAAAATAAATCACAAAATATAAGAACCATATTCATCTTATTAATAGGAGATTAGCTATTTGGGTTGTATATCTGATTTCAACTGATGCATTCTGGGAATATTTGCAAACTTTAACACTTCTTTTGAAGCTGAATGGAAAATATTTAAAGAGCTTAAATAAAATACTTAAAGGACAATTTCATATTTTCTATATTTAATGATCTATTATTTTTTTATTCCTATAAAATTAGGATTTGATACAGAATAAACTGATTTTATATAAGCAAGCCTGAAAATAGATCATAGATGTGTAAATTTGACTACTTGTATCACTTTTAAACTGATTCCTTTAGGAAAAGCATGAATTCAACTTTCCCTGTACTCTTTCCATATTCTTGACACTGGTATATTACAGCATTATTGTAGACAGAGAAGAGAGTGGGTGAGCAAATGAGAGAAATCCATTCTCTCATAATCATCTGTTCTTTCTCCTGTGTTTTAAATAATGAATTTAGTTCCCAGATTTCCAAATGACAGATGTCTGAAGGGTACAATGACTATGACTATAGAACTAGTAAATAAATTAACACACATATATATATATATATATATATATATATATATAGTAAATATATTATATTGCCATATAATGATCTGGTTTATATTATCGGTTTTAAATGGCATGCTGATAATTCAGAAGGGAATTTTTTACAAGGAAACATTAATATGGAGTATTCTTCTGGAAAATTTAGACATTCTCTTGGAAAAAAAAAAGCAATTATTCTAGGCAAATGAACATAAGATTTTTCAGGCTTGCATATAAATCAGCAACAGAATTTTGTGTGTGGAGTACAGTATTCATTTAGTGTATCACCAAGTTTCTTTTCTTAAAAGAAATAATCCATGTACACACATATATATGTCCTTAATGGCACAAGAAAAAAAAAGACAATTAAAATACAAGTATTCCTTGTATTTTGAAAGAGCTACATTAGTTGGACATGTTTATACTCCCACCAACAATTCAAAATAGCATAAAGCTTAAACAGTTAATTTCTATAGGAAAGATTTTTGAGTGTTCCCATTATTTTCTTCTATATCTTCCTACTTTGATGTTGAAAGTTGTGGTTAGTCATATATTGTGACAGATGTAGTAGGCTTGAAAATACTTCCAACACATTTCTTCTATAATAAATTTGAAGGCATTCAAAACACCTTTCAAAATCTAAGTCATACTTTCATGTAATTATTACAGCACTGTCAGTCATAGTAAAAATGTGCAGGCGAAATTTTGGAGTCTGGGAACACCCAACACTATTCCCATATAAACTGATGGTAACTGTTACTTTGTTTTATGCAATTTTGGCTTATGAAAAGTTTCAGAGAAATGCTGTACTTTTGGAGAGACGAAGAAAACTGAGAAAAGAAAATATATACAAAGAAATAAAAGAAAAGAAAATTTTTATTCTTTTTGTTCTTGTTTTTATCACAAAATACAATTACATCTTAAAGTGTTATTATCTCACATGTTATTGCTTAAGTGTCTTCAGCTTTGTTTTTATCAGTCAATATTTTCAACCTTTCTAAAGATTTCAACACCAAATGGGAGCTAGTACTCTACTAAACGGTTTTTGTTGTTAAGGCCTTCCATATACAAAAGGTTGAAATGGTAGGGGTCACAGGGCCAATTCTCTGATAAAAACAAATGAGTTTTACCAGTTTGGGCTAAAATTTTTCTCATAAAGTGAAACCTAATAATTTACATAAACTTTTTTTATTGACAAGATTAATAATAATAAAAAAAGAAATTTACGAAGCAATATTTAAATTCCCCTGGATGCAACATATTCCATATTAAAGCTTAAAGGCATATCAACTGAAAATTTATAACTGTTATTAGCATGGAAAGGAGAATTGGTATGCCAAATTAAAATTCTAGTTGAGTTTGTGGTCACTTTTGCACAAATACCCTTGGGAAAGGTCTGAATACATTGCTCCTCTTTCACACTATGGGTTAAATATCAATGCAAACCAAGTTTGCTAGCCTTGATTGGCAGCCAGCCTAGGGTAAAAACAATGCTGAATTCAAAAGCAGTTGGGCATGGGGCTGATAACTCCACCCCTGTAAAGACCTACTTGCTACAGAAACCATAGCAGCAATATGTTACATAGTGAGGTTGTACCACTATGCTTCATTAAGGAGTCTAATTGGAGAGGAGGGGATAAAAAAATAATAATAATGAATAAAGATGAAGATAAATAATAGTCTAAATAATGTGTAGAGAAGTAAAAATTCTCTTTTTTGTTTTTTAACAATAACACTAATCCTGTACAAGGCCCAACTTGAGTTACAGAGTAAGAGACACAGTTTATGGAGATATATGGGGGAAGATAACAGTTAACCCAAAACTTGAACAGGTTAAGATTGTAATGATTGGGAAGCATCCTTTTGAGATTCAGTTCCACAATGCAGTGGTTTGTGGGAAGAAGCTGCTTGTGTGGAACTTACATCTCACTAATAGAATATGAAAAGAATAAGAGTGAGTCACTATAATGTGCATAGCATGGTGGAT